GGCAGTTCTGCAGGTGGAATATTTACCCATATTTGCAGTATAAAAGACTAGAGCTGATTAACCTTTGCCATCGTTATCTGATTTTCCTCTTTCATTGCACCGGACATTTTCAATGACAGACACATCTGTGCTGCACACAGTCGAGTCGGCAGCGGCTCTTTAATGTCTTTGAAACCAAAGATTCCTGGTCGGTGCAGAATAAGACCTGTCATTGTTAAGTTGATCCACAAAAGGCTTTATCTTGATGGAAGCATACGTCTTCGTAGAATTATAATATAGGCCCTACATCAAAGCTTCTGTTCCTCACAAATATACAGATCCCCCTTAGCATGGTGACAATGCCCCCATATACCATGAAAGATTTGTAGATAACAGTCTAAATGGTTTTAACTTCTAAAGGTAAAATCCATTGTTGCTCTGCCGTCCCCAGAAAAGGCTGAATCGTTGATTCATCCAAGTCCAGAAAATGGTTTTTTTTGTACATTTCAGATGATAATTATCACCAAATAAAATCATCAAGAGGTGTAAAAACATGTCATTAGTGCACTTTAGTTGTTATAAAATTACATATAAATTCCAAAGCGAGCTGTTCGTAAACAAAATCCAAAGTTCACATTCAAGCAGTTATTAATAGTGGTTTTACTCATTAATTATTTCATTTTACCACACTGTAAAAGCTTACAGTATGATACTGCTGAGGCAATTGACCTCTTGACCCAGAGTCAGTGTTGCTCACTCCCCTTGACAATGTCATTACATTGTTTTGTTATATAATAAAAAAATTCAACCCTATCTTTTGTTTGCGAGCAAGCATTAAATAATAAAAAAATTCAACCCTATCTTTTCGTAAACTTCCTGGCAGTTATTTCTTTACAGTATATACTGGACTAATATTAATTTTACTGTATGTGTGTGTTTTACTCTGGTATTGTATAAAATAAATAGGAGCTTTTATTAGTGTTGGTTTCACATGCAAACATCACTGATTTGAATTTGTCTGTGTTGTAATGCCTGGGCTTTAACGTGTCAGGATTGACATTTATTAAACAGGCATGCTGGTGGATGTCATGTTTTTCCCTTTGATTGATCTCTTTACTTCCTGCTACAAAGATGGAGGCCGCTCCCGTAACCACACAGGCTCTTTTAAGCTCAGGGTGTAGTAGACACCCTTCGGCAGTGCTCCAGGATCAGTTGGCTTCACCCTTCCCCCTGAACTGTAATCATCAGAGGAGTGAATGTGACACTGACCTTGGATCAGCGTCTGGAGGGGAATTCATTCTCCAGCCTGTTTTAAAAAGCCCACATGTGGTCCACATGTAACTCCTTCCTGTATCCTCTGTGGAAGTGTGTTAGCCCGCAAAAAAGTGCGTGGTACACAACCTGACATCTGTTCCTATATCAGGAATACTGACGCTAACACAATATCTCCAAAATATTTCCCCAGAATGACAATATACACAGAAGAAACAGAGACAATGACAGGGAGACGGCTTTTGTAATCAATGTGTGACTTTTTTTTAGTAGGACTTAAACATCTCTGATGGCGGAGGTTTGTTTCCCTGCTGCCCCACATAGTCCATGGATAAAAACTGTTTGGCCAGAGTTCACGGCCGTCCTCTAAGGTTTCATTGGCTTGTTCTCTGGAGTATTTTAATAGTAGACTGCCTGTTAACTCTTCCACTCCTTCACAGCAAGATTATTCTTCTGTGAATATAATGTCCTCTACCATGTAGCCCTGTAATATGGAGGAAATTATTTCAGCATGTCACCTTAGACTAACTCCACTGTGACTGCATGGATCATTAGTCCTTATAATACTTGTGCCAGGATAATATTTAAAGGCAAGTAATTGCTCCTAGTAAATGCTGAAGTCCCTTTCTCTGTCTCCCCTTTTTTTCACGACATGGCCTATATCATGAAGTTGGGTTCGCATTCGTGTCGTGCTGTAATTCACATGTATTTGTATGTGCAGACAAACGTGCGTGGAAAAATGAAGAGCTAAAAGTACTATCGACTTTGCAGCCGATCTGGAAAAGTTATTTCCATATTTGCTCTGCTCCTGAATCTGTGGACGCCCGTCTGTTTGATGTGTTCAGAGCTGCAGCACAGATGCCACAGTCATAGCTATGCTGGACGTCATCTCACTGGCTCTTCTCGGAATACAGAAAAAACACAGTGTGCACCACCTCTAAAATTAGTGTCTGCCGCACATGAAGGAGAAAAGCTCCGAAGTTAGAAGCGTGGCCCTTGTTTCTCTTTGCTTTTTTTTTTCTTCTACATTTTCACGTCCCACCTTGGCAGAGAACTAGTTAAGATGTCCCAGAGCGACTTCGTCCTCTGTTTCATCAAAGATAGATGAAATGCCACATATTTTCCTATTCTGAGCGAGCCAAAAGTCTGGATATCTAGTTTTACAGCCCTTATGATTTTGGTTGTTTGGAGCTGCAGATAGTTTTGGTGTGGTTTTCTGCACACCAAACAAAATAAATGTGCCTTACCAGGCTTGAACGTCCCAGCTCCCAGTGTTATACTCATCAGTTGTGCGGCTGCTCTGTTGTGTGTTTGTGCATAAACAAAGGCAGAGAAGGACACCTTAAAGTGATTTACCAGATGTTCAGAGGGAAGGGGGGAATCTGTTTTAAGAGAGTGACTTAGCAGAGGTCTGTGTAGCAGGTGAAGCCAAACTTGCCAAAACACATATCTCTCAATTAGGCTTTTATAACTACATCATTATTTAGCTCATCATAAATTCAAAAAGGGTTCTTTTTATTGTCCAATTCATTTTTTTTTTATTTAGAAATACAGTCACGGGCTGTGTCTCATTCCACAGCTGACCACACTCGATGCCACAAGTCTGTGATGACGTGATGAGCCTTGAAGTCAGTCAGTAATGGTGGAGATAATAGGTCCTTATTACTTTGACCCCCGACCTGTGTTCTCAGCGAGAAGTTCAACAGTGGTCCCTGAGGAGCTGTCTGACAATAATGGGCTTCTAAAATAGAAAAGCCCAGATTTCTGGAGAACATCGGCCATCTCACGGTTAAATAAGAAATCCAGTTCAGCTGGAATGGGGCACAGGAGGGAAGTTTCTGCAGTGCTACCAATGTGTCACCCTCCCTGTGAGAGGCATTTCCACCCAACTCAATGAAAGGTTTATAGACTGAAATAATAAAGGCAAACCTTTGAATCGTGAACTTTAAAAGTGAAAATCTCCCCGGTGTCCTTCCTAAACCTTTTTTTTTTTTCGTTTGACGTTTTCCTTTAAACACTGATGTTTTATTTTTTTTTTTTTAATGTTAGTAATCTGCGCCAGGGAAGTGACTTCCGCTTTAAGTTCATTAAAATGGTGCTGCTACTGAGTAGTATGTGTGACCCATGTGCAAGTCTGTGGTATGGTGGGCTGTGGAGAAATGGACACCAGATGGGACCAAAGGGGGTTAGAGATGCAAGGTAAAATAAAATAACACGTGCAGAAGATTGAAACTGAGATGTGTTGGAGCTGCTTCTCTGTGTGTGTATAATAAAGATTAAATAATCTTGGAGTTGCATCACCTGAAGCAAATCTTGGTTGCTACTCCCCTGTCGAAAGAAGAGAACGAGTAAACAGACATGATCTGAAGCCCTTGAAAGAAGGAAAAAATTGGTTCATTCAACTTTTTAACTGCCCGTGAATGAAGTCACGGGGCTCCTTCCTTAGTGTTTTGATTTACATTTCCTATATAAGTAACAAGAGTATCTTTGTTCAATGTACATTTGTGTTTGAAGAGAGAAAGCCCACCAGGAAACCCTTGAATAGATGATTGAAAAAACAACCATGTTGGTTTTCCATGCAAGCGTATGCATGTGTCTGAGATTGAAAACCAACATTCCTTGGTCCCTCACATAAAAAACATTCTATTTAGAGCATTTTCAAACTGCCTTGTGATCCCTCCAAGCTCATTCTAATGCAAACACAGCAGAAAATGCATTCAGTTCCACTCTGAAGAACTCACCGTATGTTTATCTCCTTATCTGCTTTTATACCTGTGCTTTAATGCACTGGTTATAGTATTACATAGTTGTTTAGGTGGCCTTGGATGAAGAGGGGTGTAGAATGAAGTTATTGACTCAGGTGTTCATTCTTTGAAAGGCTCAATTGCAAAATATATGTTTTGTATTTGTTGGCCAACCATCCATTCCCGCTGTCTCAGAGGCAATGATTCTTTGGCACTTTTTATCTGCAGCTGCTGCGTAGTTTTATGACATATACCAGGATTTCTTTTTTCTTCCTCCTTTGCTAAACCTCATCAGTGCTTTACAACTCAGAGACGACAAAGGATGGCGGCCAAACTAAAGTAGGGCTCAATTTGTCTGAGCGTGCACAGTACAGTGTGTGGACAGGTGCAGGTGTGTGTTTGTTTGTCTTCAATAGGTGTCAGCGGGTCTGTGTTCCTGCTTAGGAGCTGTTGTCTGTCTACTTAGCAATTTATCATCCTCAAGTCTCATGGAAAATAAACCCAGTGCCCTGTCAGACGTTTCCGAGCGCTGGTGCAGATTTATTGAAAGGAAAAACTAAAATATTGGTTGGGAACTAGCAAAAACAAGCCAGCGTTTGCAAATGCCTTCCCATGGATCCTTGCAGTCACATGTAATGCAGGAAAACATGCTCTGGTGTTTTCCTAACCCTCCCATGGAGACTATAACATTTGTGCACCAGTAACGTGTCGCTCCCGTCCCGTGACCCTACACCCTACTATAGTTGATTACATCAGTGGCACCCTGACCCAGCCCTGTCACTTTCCTCTCTGCACTTCTATTGTCGTTGGTTTCCAGTTACGTTTACCAAACACGTTCGGTACTCGGATCGCTGTCAGCGTAGTTTGAGTTTCTCTGCATGGGTAATATTTTTGCAGCTAATTTCCTTCAAGATTTAAGAAAACCTTAAACTCTGGTGCCGGACACATTTAAACCAACAAACAGTAAGATGAGCTTTGGGAGTTGGAAAGACCATGTATATAGTGTTTCATGATAAATACACATTTATTTACAAATAAAGTGGTTATAATAGAAATAAATACAAAATAAAAATCTGAGCATTATACTTCATGTGGTATTGCACCCATTTCGAAATGTACATCAGAAATACATTTTCAAAACCAGTCAAGGAATATTCCTCTGATTAAAATATTTATTTTTCCCAACTTAAGTAGACATAAATATATTCATATATAGTTTTTCTTCTTCCACAATAGTTCTGTTTGTCTATCTTTTATATAAATAAATGTCTTCATTGGGAAACCGGGTGTCCTTAGTAACCTTTCAGTCTTTTTTTATTCGTGCCACTGTTTCTCACCGGCACCCACATCCCTCCACCACCATGTCCTGGTAGTTCTTTAGGATGACCTTCCCATTTTCATCCAGGTAGAGCAGGGAGATGGCGCTGAGGTCAGTGGGCACACAACAGGCTTTGGGGATGTTTGAGTTGACTGAGTTGACCAGTGTCTGTACAATGGCATGATTGGTAGAATTTAGGTGGTCTGCTAGCGGGAACGGACATTCCCCGTGGCAATAAAAGGCGTGGTAACCAGGGGGCGCCACTATCCACTCATTCCATCCTACGTCACTAAAGTCCACATATAGGTCATGCCTCCTGCAGCTCGCCTTGTGCTGTTGCTTCCTGCGGTTTTTGCGCAGAGTTGCTTGGCGTTTTTCTCGTGTGTGGAGCACCGAGTCACCGCGGCCATCGTGGCTGTACGTCACCAGCAATGGCCGAGCTTGTGGCCAAGAGTCCTGGTCCTGGTGCAGGGACCTGCTCACCCGAACATGCCTACTACGCTTTTGGGCATGTCGCTCCTCCACCTCTCCTTGGTGTGGGTGAAAAACTTCAACCATGAAGCCATGGTTGTGGCGTTTGCCAGAAGTCCACTGAGATACAGCAGGGCTGACATCAAAGCTCTCCCAGCGGCTTAGAGAGTCCTGTACTAACCGAGTGTCCAGCAGACGTGCTAGAGTTTCCCCGTTCTGACTGGCAGGTGCTCCAAAAATCTCATAAATGTTGATTCGATGAAGGCCTCCAGCCGAACCACTGCTGCTGCTGCTGCTGTTTCTGGAGCTATTGTTGGGGTGTGCTTCTCCAGTGACCTGGTCCCTGTAGATGCGAAGCTCTGCGGAGGTGATAAGTTCCTCGTCAGGGATAGAAGTGAGGTTGAAAAAGAACTGCTGGGTTGTTTTGCCTTTCAGGCTGGCCAAGGCCTCCATAGACTCTGCAGAAGAAAAGAGAAAGGCAAACATGATGTAAGACGATAGGGTTATGAAATGAATGCCAAGGATGAAACAAAAAAATGTGTGTATAGCAAAAAGAATGAGAGCGTCAACTACGATTAAAGCCTATGTTGGATCATGGTTCCCCTGTGGGCTGCAGAGTCTCAAAGTATAGTTTCCCACATTGTCAGCCACACACACTACTTGCAGCCTTCTCTCTGTGCGGCCGGCCGAGCTGCCACGTGGTTACCATGGGTGTGGGCCAACATCATACAGACATATCACATATGCATCACAACAATTCCTTCTGCTGTACATCACAATAACAGCACCTGTATTTTCATAGAAACGTTATAAATCACTGCTCATTAAGGTAGATGGTCAAACGTTGGAAGACAATTTAATTCGCTGCAGGACAAAGTTAATCAATGCACAATTAGAATGATCATCAATTGATTCAAGATGGACAAGTACCATGGTCATCTGTTTGTCATCTGGTAAATAAACACTGACCTTTAGTTGAATGGAATTAAATGTTTTTTTTAAAGAAGTTAAATAAATTGTGGAGAAATCTACAAACATCAGAGGGAGAGCTAAGCACATAATATCTGATCAGTGCAGATGCAAAGTGCAATATGAATAACACGGTAGTTTGTGTTCAGTCTGCACTCTCACTTTGAACTCACTCGCCTTATGGAGATCATAGCTGATGTAAAGACCCACACTTTTTTTTTATCTTTTTGGTGTGGTAAAGTAAACATAAACTTTGAACTTTGTGCACTTTCAAAGGGCGCATTTAGGAAATTCCACTATCTCATCCTGCACCTCTCCCCAGAAACTCAAAGACCTCAATTAGACCTGTAACTCCTCATTTGGTGTGGGAAAGCCCCCATCTCTCTTCCCCCCTTGTCTGTCCCCAATCCCCCCTTTCTTCCATCTGTAGCCCCCAAATCTTCTTTTCCTTCTGTTCTCCGTGCTTCAAATCCTCTTTTCATTTCATCTCCTCTTGTGTCACTTTTTCTTTCTTCTTTCTACCTGTCTGCAGGAGCGATCTCTCTCACTCTCTCTCTCCCTCCCTGTCGCTCTTTAGGGGAACGGCTGTGTGAACAAGTTGTGTCTTGACAAAGACGTGTGAACCACAGATATGAGTGTATCAACATTCCTAATTTCTTTTTGCGCTCCATGCCAAAACAAAAGATAAAGGCTAATGTTGGGTCATTCATCACAGACCCATACCCTGGCAGCCACTTCCTGTGTAATAGTGGAAATGTTCTATTTGGCAGGAAAGTCCATCATTTTTGAAAACTGATAGCAGTGAAACTAATAATGTGTCTGAAATGAATATCAGCAGGGAGATCTGATGAATGGCTACAGCTGTTTGCTTTGATGTGCTGAACTTACATCTGTAGATACACGTTTGGAGTAGCCAATAATTTTCACATCTTTTGACAAAGATGAACAGCTCTCCGGCTCTGTTAGCATGAGATGAAAGGGCCAGGGAAATGCATGTAAACACACTCTGAGCACACAGCTGTCATGGTCAAGGTGTGTGCTGCTTGGCTGCAAAGGTTTCCAGGAGCCGGGCAGGGAACCGTCAACCCAGCCTGACTGCCTGTGCCAGGTTGGTTTGTAGTGTGTCAGTGTAGCCACTGGGTGTCATTGCACTCGGCCTCTGGAGAGAATCGAGCACTAACTCAGCCTGTGCTCTGACTCACCCCGATGGAAAGTTCCCCACTCCAACACTCAGGACTCTGTATAAGAACTTTGTATTGAGCCCCTACGGACTCACTAAACTGTATGTTGTAAAAAGGAGAACAGGGGCTGAAGGAAATTGAATGAACGATACATTTGGGGCACATTTAACTGAAAACATCTTAATCCTACATAACTGTTTTTATTTGAACTATTATGGAAGCTTACAGTTACATGTGGCAGCAGATGAATGTATAGATAAGGCAGAAGTAATTTGTACTACTAAGGAGGACATTGCCTGAAATAAATAACTTTGTGCAAACACATATGTAGTGAAGTTAAGCATCTATATATGTTTTCAACTTATCATCTAAATTTTAAATAAAACAAATATACATAGTAATTTCAACCAGTCCTGAATATTCAGTTCATATGAACAGTCATGGTGTTATTGGAACGTGCGTAATTACGCACGGCGTAATTAGAAAGGAATAGTAAAAAAACACACACAACTCCCCTTCCCACGTCACCACAGACCAATTCCAGCACCCTATATTAAAAAATGACTCAAAATCAAGTCTGACACGATTGACTTTGTCATAATGTGTCTTACTCTAATGCCATGTTGTGTGTTACTTAAGTAACGGTGTGATGACTATCACCTGCGTCGAGGCACACCGCCCTTTATCCTGCTCCTGTGGTGCGTGACTGGAAAAACTGTTTTCAGAGCCCATGCAAACACCATCAATTATTAAGAAACAAATGACCTCGGGGATACCACCTCCTCCCGCTGTGGCTGATGCTCCTGTGACAGCTGTGCCATGCAGGAGGACGTTTGACTGAATGGCGCATCCATTAATGCGGAGATAATTGTGCATGGTGCGTTTGTTTGCTCATCTGTGACCCTGTTTTTTTGTTTTTTTTTGGTTTTTTTTACTCTCGCTATTGCAGAAAACATGGACGCGTGTCACCTGTAAATGACTAACCATGCATAAAACAGTAAAGACTGAAGTTCAGTCTTGAGGCACTGAGTCATGTTTAAATATAGGTTTAGGTTGTCTGTGGGAGACGATGAGCTCCACGGGCTGACAGGTAAAGGTATGTCATTAATACATACCTTCGTGGTGAAAGCTTCTAATTGTGTTGGCCTTGCTGGCGGCTCTTTCTGCGTGTTTCCCCATGCTCTTGGGTCGCTTGGTGCTGTGGTCCCCGTTTGCTGAGTGCATGCGGTATAAGTCCACCATGTACTGCGGCACCACGGCGTGCTTGCTCGGCGTCGGTCTGCGCCTCAGTCCAAACATATTAAGAAGGCGAAGCTCAAAGTCGTTGAGGAAGCTCTCCGACTGCTCCGGGCTCTGCTTCCCCGATTCGCTGTATTTCCTCCGGCCCACGTCAGGGATAAGTCCCGCAGCACCTTCCAGCAACACCTGAGCGAGCAGCAGTACCATGAGAGAGCGGACCACGGCGACCATGATCAGTCAGTCCCTGCAGCGGAGAAAGTTGGTTTCTGTCAATACACTGACTCTGGGGTGGTGACATGAGCTCAGGCTTTTAGTGCAGCATTGCCTGAACTGCATGTGACCCCCCCATACAGTAGGAATTATCCAGAGAGAACAGGTTAAAAAGAAAGAACACTTTGAAGTGGAACAAAAAAGAGGGTCTTCAAGCTGCAAGCCCCCCAAGGCTCTACATGGAAGAATGATCTTAACACTAACAAAACAAATAAAATAAATAGTTGGTGAAGAGGTGATACGGACGAATCAACGCCAGCAATTACAAAAGAAAAGACGTTATGTTTGGTTAAATGACATCAGATGAAGACAAATGGAGTCAGCGTCACTCCAAAGTCCACAAGACGCACAAAAGAATGTACAGAGGCCAGAAACAGAGATGGTATATGGGGCAGCAGGAGCGGCACAGACGCTGCTACAAGCCTCTATTTGCAGAGGCTTTGACGGTCATGTATAATCATAAGGGATAGAGTTACTTCAAGAGACTCGCAGGTGTTAGATCTGACGTGCGTAACAGGGCCAGATGTAGCCCGGGACAGTAACATCAAAAACTAAGTATCATCTGAACAGCACAGCCTTCAAACAGACGGACTTTTACAGTCCTGCACTTATATTTATAAAGTTTTTCCACCGCGTATTTCTGCTGTCCAGGGTGGAAATGTCTCAACTTTTACGCACGCACGCATTCATTCATATACTGAGGAAATCGAGGAGTTTTACGACGACAAAACGAATTTCCACTATTATAAATCCCGTTCTCATATACCTACCGATGTAAGGGATTTTTGTTTTTCTGAAGGTTTTTTTTTTTTAATATACGTGCGGCACTTTACCTGACGAGGAAGCGCTGTGTCTGCTCGTCGTTCCACCTTTGGGCTCCGATAAAGTCCACATTAATTCGTGTTTAATCCACGCTGCTTCTTCTTGGGGGACCTCAGGCAGTCCAGACCCTTCACCGATCGACTCTCGCACATATTCTCACCAGCTGCAGTTCAGGTTGTAGTTCGTGTTCAGCGCGACAAGAGGAGGAAAAAAAAGTAAAGTCTATAAAGAAGCTGGGTCGTGAAGGTAGGACCGATCTAAGTGTAGAGCGGTTTGGCTGAACATTTTCCAACAAGGAGACTTTACACGGATGGAATAAGATTAAGCGACAAAGTCTTGGTTTGTAAAGAAGAAGAAAAAAGGCGCACTCCAAGTGTCGCTCCTCTGGATTCTGGGAGCACGTCCTCTCTCCTCCGTGCGCCACAGTGTAGTGGTTCTATCGATTGGTGCCTTCCCTTCTCCCAGCGACTCTTTTTGTCGTAGGGTGATGTCACCGAGGGGCTGTCAATCATTTGTCTACTTTGAAACACCTCTTGTGCACCACAAACCCAGAAGCTGCACATTTACGCACGTCTAATTCTCCTAAATATGCGCGTAAAGAGCCACGGACACCCATTTGAAACCAACTATATATTTTTATAAAAACTTCCGAATCCTATTCTATGTACCCACAGCAAACTTTAAACAATCTTTACCTACAAAACAAAGGAACTATTCTACTTGACATATACAGTAACCCCCCTCCAGGTCAACATACACAAAAGCTGTCTACATGTGTAATTTTACATTGTACAAAAACAATCATTTGTTTACTTTCTTATTTACACCACAATTGTGTGATTGTGGTGTAATATTCCTGTGAATTTGACTTGACAGTGAGAAGGGCAAGCCAACTTGTGTTTCCTTAAAATATGCAACTAATTAAGTCATGTAAATAGCAGGATCAAACATGTTTTAGATATTGAAGTAGAGCAAGTTACACAATGACATCACAATGAGTTGCTTTTGTGGTTTTAGATTAGAGCCTGAGGTTGAAATATCAAATTCTGTTGCTCAAATTCTCTATCTCTCTGTCTACCTGTCTGACATCAGTTTTAATTTATCCCCACTTCCTCTTGGCTGGCTTCTTTTCTTCATTTCATTCCAATTCACAGCACTTGTTCAATATATCAGTAGCAGATGTTGGCAAGCATGTTTTTTTTTTCTTTATCTACAGTGCTGTGTGAGGTATTCTCAACAGAAACTTTTCCTGGAAAGCCATGTCCTCCCTCTTACCTTTGTAATACTCCACCACCTTCTAAATATACGTATATATCAAAATATCTAAAATATTTGTGCAAAAAGATTCATCTCAGCTGGAGAGTGTCCCCCGGTGCATTTGTACAGTACAAGCTCACAGAGCCCAGAGAAACTTTGCTGTGTTGTTTTTAGCCTGTGGGGCGTATTCAAAAGCATTAGTGGTTGGGTCATCTCCATAAGAAAAGCCCCCTCTGATTCCCCCTAGTGACTTCCATTAGGTGCTGATGGTGGGCCAGGCGGCTGTGTTTTGGGCAAAGCACTGTGTCTGTTTTCTTTGCAGAGATGGCAATAGATTAAATCCCACAGAGATCACAAGATATCTTTGTTTCCTTACGGAGCAATAACATTTTATGAGGGATAATCCCAGATCATCCACTTAGCAATTAAAATACAAAGAGGCCCATAGGTGCATGTCATTACATGAATGGCACCGTGTACAGTTGTTCGACCTTCCGATAGCTGAATCCTGTTCATTTATTGATGCTTTCTAAAGCAATACATATTTTCTTTTTATCTGAAGAATAAGAATCATTCAAATGTGTCCTGTGATGTCCATGTGTCACGTCCTAAATGATGTTAATTGAAATGCAAGTAGAGACCCAGATGATTTGTTAGACCATCACAAAGGCTGAACCCGTTCACACCCATCACCACGTCTGAATTTCTAATTTGTCTTTGCATTCAACAGAAATCTGTGCTTCTCTTCCACAAGATTCATTGAATGCCATGCCACAATATTTGGCCTATTATCACTAAAAGTTTTATTCAGCAAATAAACCTCTAAATTGAAACAGTAAAAGATGAGTAAACAAACAAAAAACATGATGATGAAAAAATGTGGCCAACAGGTTGAAAGACTTGGTAGTGTTGTCAATATATGTTGCCCTGCTGTGGACTGGCCCACTCTCCAGGATGAACTGTGGCGTCCCCTGCTGACCCTGAAAATAGTAAAGCAGTGGAAGATAAATGGATGAATGAATGAATGAGTGAATGAATGAATGAATGACCACACGTGTAGTGTATGAATACTTTGTGAACATGTGTTGTGTGTATCTTGGTGCTGCTTATGTCAAGGCAGAAATGAAGAATGTGTCTAGCCAAGGCTGCTGAAGGACTTAATCAGCGATGGCTGCAGTGCCTTGAGAAGATCATGTGTCTTTGATACTGTGTATATATCATTGTTGTGAGCCAGATACATCAGGCTTATCTCGGCCCAGCCACTGATCCAATTATTTGCTGATTGAAAGAACAACATCACAGAGAGCCAGCAGAGATATGTTATCAGAAACAGAAATGAACGACCTGCACATGAGGTTAAATTGTGACTCAGCCAGACAGACAGTGTGAGCCCCTGTGCAACCACCGCCGTTACCAGTGTCAGTATTTCCTTGTAGCGCTTTGTTTGTTCATGATGGCAGTAAGTAGTCTGTGTCCGGTGAAGCTTAAAGCTGAACACGGTGGCATTTACTATAGAGCAGGAACACTGAGGAACCACTCGACCAACTGGGACAGAGGTTTACAAACTTTTTCCTCTGCAGTATTTTAAGTTGACCCACAGCTTATAGGAAGAAGAAACATCATTCAAGTGAGAATGTGGTTTTGTCAAAACAAGAACATGCAGTGTATAAAATTTCCCACACTCGTGTTTCCCATCCATTCTTCGGTACAGGGATGTTACAGAGATCTTTGAATCCACCGTTTCACTGAGCCTTCAGTGGTGACCCAGTTTTTTTTGTTTCTTTTGATGAAGCCTGGCGTTTTACTTAAAGATGCTGTGTAGAGGTTTGGGTGACACCTAGTGGCAAAGTTACCTGTGGTGGCAGAATTATTTCAGCCAAGCCTAATGTGTTAAGGGGCCTTGAGCTCCCTAATTCTTAAAAAAGAGATTTATTGGAACTGAAATGTCTCAAATCAATTGTCTTATAATATTTGGGATACCATTCCAACATTAGGTTAAAGAAAATCAAAGTAAATGCCAATATCTATGTTTCAGATTTTTTTTTTATATTTTCTTGTGTAACAAAAAGAAAGTGAAACGACAAAACCAGCTTTCTTTTTTTTTTTTTTTTTTTTTTTTTGCTTTTTGGCTACTGGTCATGAATCATTTCCATTTGTCCTCTGTGTATGTACTGTGGAATTTTGTCTTTTGTCTTGACATTACATTTGAGCCTTGTCATCACAAGTTATTTGACAAGTACAAGACAATACCAGTCTGAGACTCTTTTGTATAACCACTCACACCTGCCTGAATCATCTGAAAGTCAGATTACTACATGGCTACAGTATATTCCATTCATCCCTCTATTTTTCGAGGAATCACTCTGAGTAACCCATGGAATAATGTGCACTGTCACGACCGCTACCCCGCACTTTGGCTTCGGCTAATAGATGTATCTTTTTCATGTACGGAAACCCCCGTAACGGAGAACAATGTGCAAATGTAAAATGAATTTATTCAAGAGGGGATGTTTGAGGTTGTTGAAGGGAGATTAGTGTGTTGCCTTGTTTTAATATGTACATCCTGATGTGGAGGAAAAGACACGCTTTATTGTCCCCTGACTCTCGCACGCGCTCATTTCTCTGCATGCTTGCAGCGCGTGCATGTGTCCGTGTACACATGTTGTGCCGGTTGTAGATAGTGCGGCCTTCTCTTGTCATCACGTACATTCCAGGAGTCAGGGGGCAGACAAAGCCCCCAGATGACACTGCAGATCTAACTATTAGCCTTTCACCTGCTGTTAACAGCAACTTGGCGAGGCACACAGCTCGCATTCCTCTGCCTTCAGCCAGCCGTATTCTTAACATACAGTAACATGCCTGCAGAGAGATAATCTTCAGAGATATTGCTCGCAAAACCAGGGAACAATTTGTTGCTGCGACTCGTCTGTAATTCCATGCTCGAGCAAAGATGTCTTTTTAATTTGGAAACCAATAAAATCTTCATCAGTCCACATGTGTTTGACAGCAGAAGCACGACTGCTTGGTTGGTTGATCCCAAAATGGAAACCCACCAAGGTCAGAGACGGCTAGCTAGAAAGCCAGAGTCAATATTTATGGATACTGAACATGTGGCACACTTCTCTACCCACTAATTTGAGCAACAAGTCCACCTCCAGATTATATGGGATCTCCGAGATCACAAGAGAGGGTCCAAACCTTGCTTGCACGTTTCAGATATCGAGAAGTAGCTTGAGGTCGGTCACTGACTAGTAGCTGCACATAATTGGCACGCTGTTGATTTGTTTTTGTTTTAATTTCCTGTGTAAATAGGAGGCGGGAGGAGCTTTGATCGGGCAGCAAGAGGTTGCTCCTTGATCCAGACGTGAAGTTTGTAATTATCATTAGGGATGTTATCATCGCAACATGACTTTTGCTAGGTTTTTTTTTTTTTTTTTTTTTTTTTGGCAAAACCGAAAAAGAAAGAATTTCACATTTAGGTCTGCAGACCCATTATCACTTAATCTCTTATGGCCGAAAATACGTGCATTGACTCGTCTTTATTGGTCACTTAACTTTGAAGCTAAAACTTAAAATAACTTGCTTCCATGTGCTATAAACAAGAGTTGATGAATTGTCTATTTAGCAGTTTAACAGCACTGCACAGTGATAAAAAAAAGAAAAAAGAAAAACGTAGGTAGGAGGAGGAAACAGTTAGCTTTGTACAGACCTCACACTTAAATGACCTACAGTACAAATCATATAAACACATGCCCTATTCAGTGCAGGAGTGGGGATGAGAGGCAGCTACTTCCATTTTAGAGTAAAAGAGAGATATAAATACAGGGATCTGCCCTTTGAATGTAGCTCCACTCATAAAGACACCACGCGTCACTCAATTATACGTCTGCCTGATTAGAAGGTTGGGCGACGTAAACAGCCAGCGTCAAGATTTACATCTTACTGCTTAAGCACAAGCAGCTGTTTACAGGCCGAGGAAGGAAGGAAAACACTTAGCAAGTATCTGTACATGAAAGAGAGTCAGTGGCTGACACATTTCCAGCTAAGATGGTTCTAATTAATTGTTCATGTCAATCTTATGAAGTTTTTGGATGGGATGGTTGTTTCTGGCCCAGTCAGAGCTAATTATTTTAAACTTTAAACAGGTTTATATGTAAAATTGCAGCAGATGAAGT